AGAATACATATTCCCAAGTGAAAATAGCCATCGTCCAAAAATTGACAAGATTGTTTTTAAATTGAAGTTATCTGGAATTTGATTAAACACAGTTTATAAGAGTGGTCAGATTATCATGGTTAATTGTTATATACGATGAACGCTATAGCATCCAGACAAAGTTTTACACTTTTATTTTACGCTATGTGCTTGCGCAAGCTAATATGACTACAGGAAAAGAAAAGATTATACGACAATACCTGATGAATTGGCTAGTAATCACCTTGACAGGTATAATAATTACGAAAACGTAAGGTCATATAAAATCAGACAAATTGACTTTAAAATTCGAATGCTATAGCTTTCGTGTCATTCTGCATCACAAAGAAATTGAATGCTATAGCATTTCCGCAAACGTGTTAATATACAAAAATCAAACACTTCACGAAAATCATATCAACTGATCATGGTATTTTTAGCATAAGAGGATCATGGTATTTCTAAATTGTACAAATTTTTGCACGACAAATTGTGCCATATGCCAAAGTATGCATATTTCTGACGCATAAATAATTCACATGCATATTTTTCGATCGATTAAATTTTCGTTCGAATTCTGGCACAGTGTGGCGCGTTGACATCGCCGCGCTCCGAATGCACAAGTACGCAATGCAGTGCACAATGAGATATAGTAAATACATAAATCGTCGGAGCTCCGACAGAACTGGAGGGTTCATTAATATATCCACACTCCAAGGCACGGTGCCAAGATCCAAAAGCTGAGATACGATGGCGACATCCTTTATAATCGTCTCTCTGTCCCACTAATCGCGGAAAGGAATAGAGTTCGGAGAGCTCTGACTTGAGACTCGAACTGACTGCATTCGCGATTCGGTGGTATTTTTAACCGATGCTGTCGTAGGCGTCCATATTTAATTTAGCTTCTCTTGTTTTTCTTGAACTGTTCGTCATTTATCCAGGCTGATGGATGATGGCGTTGAAATGGTCTGAGCGTTTTTGTTACGCGGGGTCCAGGATAATGCAGCGAACTAAGGCATGGTGACAGACTTTTTCTATTAGATAGATTTTTTCTGATAGAACTGAATCGATGACTTCGGTTTTGATAATTAAATTTTGGCGCTATTGTAACTTATATACAAAAGTATTCATGCAAACGGTATTGTGCCACTGGTGCCAACACTGAATAAGTCTACATTTCAAATTGACAATTATTAAAAATTACCAAAAATTCGCATATCCACGAGAGGTCTGGTTGTGAGCATTTTTGTTACGCGGGATCAGGATAATGCAGTGAACAAAGGTCTGGTGACAGACCATTTTCCCATTAGATATATTGTTTCTGATATAATTTAATTGATAACTTTGGTTTTTGTCGAATTTAATTAGATAATTTTGACGCAATTATAACTTCTGATAGAACTTATATATAGAAGTATTTTATATATAAGTATTTATGCAGTTAGCAATGTGCCACTGGTGCCTCGTATTCATTGTCAGTGTGGCATGGCACTTAGTGAATCTATTTTTCAAATTGTCTCAAAATTTACTGAAGATTTACTTATCCAGGAGAAAGTTTTTCCTACATTATGTTGCAATTGTAACTATGTAAATAACATCCTTTTTACTGATATTTTCAAATGTGCCATTAAAAATTTAAGACAATGTATGTATCAAAAATGTATTTAAAGATTTCACACAAATTTCTCTAATTACTTGTGAAATTATCTCCTTACTGAGCAAGTAATGTTTTGAAATTGGCAATTATCAAATATTATTGAAGATTCATTTATCCTGAAGAAACCTTATTTTTCTATACTTGCAATTGGAAGTACAATAACAGTCCTTTAGTTGCCATTATCCAAATTTGTCGAAACTAATTTGTAATGAATTAACATTCGATTAACATTCGATTACCATAAAATAACATTTTGTTTAGTTATTTAATTTCTTCAATATCTACAAATAGTTTTGCGAGTATGATTGTAATAAAAATTCTTATATCCTGCACTTTCACCAGAATCTGTAACTTTATATTTTCATTTCTAAATTAATGCACAAATATTCTCAGCGTTAGGGAATGCTTTTCTATGAATTATTTTTAAATGACGACTATTAATAATAATGCTAAAAGATTTGATATACGTTCTTCATTTATTTTGCCATTGCTCATAAATCCACTGCATGCTCAAATAGAACCACAAATTCCAATGAGTTTTAGTAGATTCACCAGATTCAAATTTGTTTTTACTTTGTAGTTTGAAAACCAAAAATTATGTCAGTTGAAAAATCTGATATGTAAATTAATGCAGAAATTCAAATCTCACAGTAATAATTCTGCATTATTATACACATTTAGAACTATATTTTAAATCAGACACGAGCCAAGCAGCTACATATATGTATTTATATTTCTTAAAAGACTCAACTATACAAGAACTTGTATAGACATTTTTACCCCCGGCTTGTTCCACTTCTCCCGCGAGAAATATAATTCATTAATTCTCAAAATTCAAATTTAGGCAATAAAATAAATTAAAAAAATGTCCTATAATAATCACATAATCCCATGAAGCATGTATGACAAATGTTTCTTAATGAACTAATAATATATTTCATTTGTAGCATCTGCATTTAAAAACTGGCCGTCGCACAAGTTCAATGCTAAATACGTCCTCATATACATGTCGTCTAGGGCTTTAGATGTTTACAAGCTGTTCCGTAAAGCACGTGTTGTATATTTTTAGATCCATGTCGGAACTTTTATCAATAAAAATGTCTTTATTCAGTATCAAATGTTATATCGTTCGCCACGAACTCTGACTTAGATATTTCTAACGTATAAAGGTTATAGAAATGACTCAAGAGGCAACGTTCACATGAGCGCGAAAAAAAGAAAAACTTTATGATCGAAAACATTATCAACATTATGATCTTCAGAAATAATATGTCTTAAAATTAACGCAATAACCACTATTTGACATTTTGTATTATAATTATTTTGAATATTTTTATATTCACTCACTATTCTATATCAATCAAAATTAAGCCAAGTAGCTTATAGTATATTGAATTCTGATTACTGTAAATAAAAATAATAAAAAAAATCAGAATAGTTATTTTTTATGAGTTCTTACACTGAGCTGTACGACAGTAGAAGCAAATAAACAAAAAATATAATATAAAAAAATAAATTAATTTATTTGAAAAATTGGAAGACCAGCAAACTTACTGTCGCATCGGATATCGACTTTGCAGCATGTTACTCCTTACACTAAGAATTTTTTTTTATTCGTATATATAATTGTTCAATTTGAACTAATAGTTTAGTAGTGTTATTGTAAACTATTATTATCATGAAATAATTAGGAGTATTCCAATTTACATATCCACTGATGATGACATCAAATTATATGTCGAAGCGTTTGGAATGAATGATTATTTTATAAATCTTTGTTTCGCCCTTAAAGAACTTACTCATATTATATATATATATATATATATATATATATATATTTCTATGAATTATTTATAAAATAGCTCTGTTTCATGATATCTCACTCTTTTCCTGCTGTGTCCATTTTTATAACATAATATGTGCATTAGTCGTTATTTATATAACGGCGACTTGAGATAAATACAATTTTCAACAGAATCTGATTGTCGTAATTGATAGTGACAAAAGTTAGTATGATTATGCATATGAACAGTACATTCATCGTACAGTAGATAAAATTCCGTTTTGCAAGATTCATTAAACTTCATTTATTTTGGTCTCTACAACGTTATCTCTTGGTCGAGAGAACATGCAACGTGTTGACTATGGACGTACTAAAAGGGTTGTAATTTGAGAAATGGAATATATATATATGTATGTATATATATATATATATATATATATATATATAATTATTTTAAATTACATTAAATTAAAGTATATTTTGTGGGTAATTATAAAAGCAATATTTTTCTTCGAAACGATTTTTTGATTCGATTACAACCAGATCGATGGACCTACTGGATTACCATTATCGATAGATTACCACAAAACATGGATTATAGATAGTAAAGATATTGTGTATAGATATTAAATTAACATAAATTTAAACGACTTTTATTGATTTATTGATATGAAGCCCAATCATTATTATCTTAAACACCTTGCATACAATTTTTGGAATGCAGTTAATGCCAAATTATTAACTAATTTGACAAGTTAAGAAAGCTTCAACGATGATTAAAATAATCAATTTAACCATAAATGACACATTCTTTCACGTGCCCAATAAAAATTCTCATTTCTTAGGATGAGTGATGACAAGATCATAAATCTATAAAAATATTTGTTCAGCAAATTATGTCAAGTATTAAAAAATACTTTCGTGTGATAATAACGACAATAAGTAGTTAACAACAAATTTAATCGGCGCGTAAACACGAACTGAACGAGTTCACATGCAAATTTTTAATTAATAGCAGTATATAAAATTATATGTGATGGCTAGGTTTTATTAACATTATGCTAAATAATTACTAACGCGGTGTTACAAAATGTTCGCAAAGGTAGATTAAAAATCTGCATATTTCTGAAACACACGAATATGAATGTAACATTTTCACAGAGGAATATTAAAAAATTGTGTTTAAAATCGAGATGGTTGACCGGAAATTTATTGTAAAGAAGAAACTGATTGTACAAATTATATATTACTTTTTTTTATTTATTTTTTTATTGGCTTTGTGAGCTTGTACATTTGCCATATATATTACTTACTAAACTTATTAAAATGTGTATAAAATATTTCATGGATGAAAGTTTTTGCATTGTTTGTTTCAAAATTAAATAAAATGAATAGTTAAATTTGATTATTTAAAGCTCATGATTTAAAGTATATCTGAATGATTACTATAGTTAGGTTTAGATCTAAATGGCATTTGACAATATTATTTTTTCACAGATGTTTATAAGTATATAAGCATGCAAAAATTTAAAAAAATCCTACCTTTTCATGATCAGCTTGGTAGTTTCTCCTGATATCACATTAGAAATACACACTGTTTTACACTATCACTAACACACTACCTCACCTGAAACAAAGAGAAATATTTGTATTGAATTGCAATAAAAATTAATAAATAGACATATAAATTCAAGAAATCTAATAATGTTAAAATTCAGTTTGTTAATTTGATCTGTAATACGTATGAGCATTTTCCTACATGTCAAGTTATCAATTGAATATAAAATATAATATAAAAATATTACAATACAATATATTTGTTTAGAAGTAGTAATACATTTGTACGTCTGTTCATATATCATGTTCTATTTATTAATTTACATACAATATATTTTACAAATATAAAAAGAGAATTTTTTCATTACATATTGGATAATATATTGTATAAAAGTCTTGGTTTCTGGTTTTTGTATGAATTGTCCAATAAAATTTTGCTAACTTTAGATAATTCGGATATTCAAATTTCTTCAAAGAAAAATAATTATAAATATTATTTATTTATTCATTTAGTTATTTTATGCCCATGGAAATATTGCAATTGATTTACAATTTATAGTGCACAATGCATGCTAAAGCTAAAAAAAAGATGTTATTTTAGGGTTTATAAACACATAAACTAAATACATATAATATAATACATAAAATAAAGAGAACAAAACTAAAAAATATTCAATACTATACGAGTATACAAGTAAAATGTGGGAAGTGGTGGAAATTCGGCCTTTCAACCACTGTTTCCGAATTCTAATGGCGCGTTTGTGCAACATAGTATTGTATCATGCAGTAGTGATATCCAATTTTACTTGAAAATATTAATCAAAAGTATATTTACAAGTGAAAATAGCATCCGAACACAACTGAGCAAAAAATGAAGTATATAACAATAGAATTGAATAGAAAATGTATGCATAATATTATAATGGAAAAATTTCAATGAATTTATTTGCAAAGTCAAAACGTGTTGAGTATAAAATATAATTAATAAAAGGAAGTTGAATGTGATAGCCCAATATTAAATATGCAAAGGTATACAATATGTAGTATTGAGTTGTTTATGTGTAAAAGTTAAGATATTGGGCGTTTATTAATTTCTTGAGCGATTTCTAGATGCGCACCTCCCCCTTGGTGATACGTGGTAGTATTTAAAATTACCCCATTTCCTTGCCCAATATTACGTGTATTTTTATTACCTACAAAAAAACGTAAATTATTTTTGTAAAACTTTAGATTTTTTTATATTGAAGTAAAAAATAAATACACGTGATATACTAAACTCTCCCATGTGATATTTCGTAATTTTTTGTCAAACCCCCTCCCTCTTTAAGACTTACGTGATTAATGAACGCCCCCAAATAAAATTTGATGTATTTCTCTCAAGCAATAATATATTTAAAAAACAGTATTTGCAAAAACAATTTTAAATATGCAAATGGCTAACAATATGCAGTAACTATCACGGAACTACAATTCTTGAACAACCAAAACGGTGATACCAAATTACTCTCGGGAAATCAGCCACCTTGCCGTGGCTGGTTCTAAAAACTTTTCAGAATGTTTTTTTTATGTTAATCCACACCGTGTTATTGATTGAACTAAACTTTTGATAAACGCTCGAATCACATCATACGAGAATAATTGAAAGTTTATGAAAGAAATTAAGGTAATTACCCGAACATGTGCACCAACGGATGTTCAGACTTTAGTACAAAATGGCAACGAAAACTGCGCTAATTACATCAATAATAATGGTGTAAAATCCTTGCCTTGTAATTGTGAACTTGGTTCGATATTTCTTGACCATTTAATGGACGCACGTAACATATTTAATGAATGGTAATAGCTCCATAAATTACTTGTTTTCTTTTCCTCAAAAGCCGTATTAAAAGTTTTGAACAAAATAATATACAATTATAGCCGGATAGCTTTTCTGAAATTGTATTTAGTAAAGAAGGTAATGAAATCGAAAATGTTTTTCTCTTGAATTAATCTTAACATCAATGAACACATTTTGACTAATTAGCGATATTATTTAGTATCATTTGCCACAACCATTATGTTATATAAAAATATTAATTTAAATATAAACATGATGTTATATTTGACATGAATTTGATATTTTACAAGAATTTGTAAAACTAGGCTATGAGCTAACATATCATTTTTTAATCAAGCTACTAAATGTGAGTTTCTTATATTTCTGGTATTTAATTTTTTATGAAAAACTTATTTACGAACATTAAACTCTTATTACTGTTTTTCGAAATATAGTCATTGCTTTTTTTAATGTAGTTTTTAATAAAACTTTTTGAAAGTTGTTAAAATATAATAGAAAAGTTATATTTATAAATTCAATGGAATTAAGATTTATATTTAATTCACAAAAAAAAATAATTTCACATATTTCTTGAAACTGAATTAGTTTTGAGAAATATTATTGTTATATATTATTTACTGATTGTTAATTTACAAAAATGATTAAAAATTATAATTTCATATATAAAGTTAATTTACTATAAATAATATTAAATTAATAATTCATTATTTTCTATATTGTTGAAAAAATTTAAAACTTGATACATTTAACGAAAATAAGAATATGACTCATTTTTAAATATTGAAAAATGTTTTCTGAGTGATTTGCTTGTTATTAAAGTATTTGATATTTATTACAATAGTTTTATTTTTAATTAATATTTAGATAAAATTTCATAACAATTCTGTGATAATCAAATATTACAAATTTTAAGCGTAAAACAAATAATTAACCTGTAAATTATTAATTATTGTGCCGTATATCTAAAGTTTATATTTAGAGTTTGAACTTTATTTATTTTTAATATAAATTTGTGAAACTTAAACTAATTTACTTTGCTTATTTAACAAAATATCGCACACAACATATTTTTAGCAAAAAAGGTAGGAATTTCAGCAATCTCTAAAATAAGGAGAATATTTTAGTTGTAAATTTGTTTAATTTGAAAAGATCAGATTTAGGGGACAATTTTTTGATAAAATAGAAATGTTATGATAACATTATGTTACGGATTTATCTTCGTATAAATTGGTAGTAACAAATTCTTAAAAAGTTATGTATTTGCGGTGCGATCAGGCTTTTCACACATAACCTACAAAACGCACAAATATCAAATAACAATTCTATTATAAGTGCATCGGATGTATCATTGATAACACATACGTGAAGTTAGGTTTTATGTGTACACATACGTGTACGCCTGATCGCACAGTTTTTTGACAATTCGTTAATAACAAGTCATAAGAAGATAGACCGGTAACATAATGTTACTAGAACATTTTCATTTTATCAGAGAATTAGCCCCTTAATTAACTAGGACAAAAATTAGACATCTCGGACCTTACCTCCCAAAGAAACATTGTACGTATTGAATAGTTATATTATGCAAATCAAAACATTTGCTAATTTTAATTAAACTTCAAGTACATTTTCAAGTAGCTGATTAATAACATGCAAATCCCTTACGCTTAAACGAGAGGCATTTAATAAAACGCCGAATAAAAGTAACCTAAGCTAACAAGGGAGTTTTACGACTATCTATAAAATCATTTCATATAGGGGACCACCACTAGAAGAGAGGTTGGAATAGGTCATCAATAAAAAAAATTTTCATTAAAGAATCTCACAAAACAATGAGAACAAGAACAGAAAAAATTACCCCGAGGCGAAGAAAAAATAATCCAACCCTCATTCGCGAAAAAATGCGCCTGCCCTAGTTCGAGGGTGGAATTTACCCGCTCTCGTTTGGGGAGAGTTTGGCGGCGCCGGCTGACTTTCCTATTTTCCTTTCTCGTCGAAATAGAATTGGTTTCGGAGATTTATTTCGATATTAGTATGCAAATTAAAAACGAGAGCGCGGAGTCCCGCGTTAGCCGTCTTCTTGGCAGCATCGAGAATGGGGTGTTGTTGTCGCAACATGGCGCGACACCCCGAACTGTAGAAGAGGCAATTGATAACGTGATTTTACAAAACGATACGCGTTTATGGCCCCCGTTTAAAATTGCTTAGGCGACATTCATTCCGATATTTGAATCTTTGAAAGAATTCAGAAGAAGGTGCAAGTACAAGAATTGAACAGAGCATAGAGTTCCGGAATACGATATAGCATTTCTATACATGTTATTCACTTTATTAACCATTCGGAGGGTTTATGCATATTATAATTGTTCAAATAAAAAAAATTAAAGCTTACTTATATACTTCAAAAACCAGTTTTAAAATTTGCAATTCTGTTCATATAACACATAGAAATATGTGAAAAGATCCCATTCTAACTCCTCTTCATTAAGTTCTGTTCTTTTACTTTTCATGTAAACTTATATAAACGTCATCGCCCAATTTAAACCTCTTATTTTGTCTATATAATACAAATAATGAAAGTCCCAGGACTTATAAAATTTTTGAAAACATTTAATATTCTACGAATATTTTATTGCGGTACTGAAAGTACCCGCAAGTTGCATTAAGGCACGATGCCACTAGTTTTTTGTTGTATTTTATAATATATAATAAATGGTACTCTTATGAACGCATAAAAATAGAGTTTCAACAACTTTACATCTATTACTTTTGTAAATCTTAAATTACCGACACCATGAGTTTTTGTAATATAGGCGCTTTTATGAGAATGACCACTAAATTGAATTTATGTAACACTAAATTAAACTATAGACAATATTTCATCAATCCTAATAATCACTAATCACACAATCATTATTTTACTTCTCGAAGGGTAAGTTATAATAACCGCAAAAAATCGTAAATAATTTTTTTATATGTGTGTGTGTGAGTATGTGTGTGCGGATACAAATTTTGTCGACGATTTTTGAAACACGGATCAACCGATTTGAATATTTCAAAAACATTAGGTTTGTATTAATGGGAAGACATGCTAATTAGTTTTTTGCAAAAGCAGGTGCAAACGTTTCGAAGATATTAGGCAAGAAGTGCCAAAAATGGTTATTTAGTTTTTGAAAGAACGGAGTGTCCGATTTGAATGATTCAAAACACATTTTAGTTCTACTAGCGAAGCA